TGTTCCGACCTCCAGAAGAGGATGAGGAACTCCTTGGTCCCGAAATACCTTATTTTAGTGCAATCGGTGCACTTATGTATCTTGCTAATGCTACAAGGCCTGACATAGCATTTTCTGTTAATTTACTAGCAAGATATAGCTTTTTTCCTACACGGAGATATTGGAACGGGATAAAGCATATATTGCGATATTTAAAGGGAACACTTGATATGAGTTTATTTTATTCTAACAAAGGTAGTGCAGATCTTGTTGGTTATGCAGATGCAGGTTATTTATTTGATCCACATAAAGCTCGATCTCAAACTGGGAACGTGTTTACATGTGGAGGTACTGTCATATCATGGCGCTCCACAAAGCAATCTATTGTTGCTACTTCTTCAAATCATGTTGAGATAATAGTTATTCATGAAGCAAGCGGGGAATGCGTGTGGTTGAGATCAATGATTCATTTTATTCAAGAAAAATGTGGTTTGGAATGTGATAAAAGATCCACAATTTTATACGAAGACAATGCTGCATGCATAGCCCAATTAAAAGGAGGTTTTATAAAAGGAGATAGAACGAAGCACATTTCACCAAATTATTCTACACACGTGATCTTCAGAAAAATAGTGACATTGATGTGCAACAAATCTGTTCAAGTGACAATCCGACATATTTATTCACTAAATTTTTGCCAACTTCAATTTTTGAGAAGATGATATATAAGATTGGAATGCGGAGACTCAAATATTTGAAACAAGGTTTTTATCATGGGGAGTAAAATACGCGCTATTCTATTTTTTTCTTACTAAGGTTTTTCCCACAGGGTTTTCCTTATAAGGTTTTTAATGAGACAACTAGTTATGCGTATTACTAAATATGTGTACTCTTTTTCCTTCACTGAGATTTTTTTCCCACGGAATTTTTCCTAGTAAGGTTTTAATGAGGCACACTATCTTTTAATGAACATCTAAGTGGGAGTGTTATAAATATACTATATTATGGATGTTCATTTAGTACTCCGTTGAAAATAAGCTTCCTGAAGAAGCTTATCTATATGAGACTCCGCCGTAAATATATTTATCTATTTAGTACTCTATTGGAAATAAGTTTCCTGAAGAAACTTATCCTTTCAGTACCCCGTTATGGATAAACATCATACCCGATGGAAGATTATCTATATTTGGTACAATGAACTTATCCTTTCGGTACTCTGTTATGAATAAACATCACACCCGATAGAAGATTATGTATATCTGGTACAATGAGCTTATCCTTTCGGTACTCTGTTATGGATAAACATTACCCCCGGTAGAAGATTATCTATATCTTGTATAATGAGCTTATCCTTTCGGTACTCCGTTATGGATAAACATTACCCCCGATAAAAGATTATCTATATCTTGTATAATGAGCTTATCCTTTCGGTACTCCGTTATGGATAAACATTACCCCCGATAAAAGATTATCTATATCTGGTACAGTAGCAACTTACACAGCAACTTGCAGATTCAGCTTACACAGCAGCTTGCTTTCTTCTATACATAGAGTAGATTTCAATTCATTATGTACATAAGTTTAAAGTTTGAATAATATATCAGTTTCTTTCTATACTTGTCTTTACTTTACAGTCTTTATTTTATAACAATCAAGTCTTTATACACATTTCAAACTAACATTTCTCTATTTTTTTCTAACAAGAAGAATATGTCCTTTATTTTTGGTATTTTCACCTCCGTGTTAGTAGAAATAGTAGGCCAAGTTCTTGTAACAGGGTATAGGGAGTACGTACCACAAATGATTGTGATGGAGTAGTAAGTATTTCTTCATCCTTAACCAGAGGTCTCGTGTTCTAGCCTCTATGAATAGAGTTACCTTTGGTAGGAAGTGCTTTAGCCCCAAAGTGAGATTTCCTATGGCGAATTCGGACTAGTTGCTCCCAAAGTGCTTTACCCACATTTCTATGCAAATTTCAAAGCACACAGTGGCGTACGCAGGAATTTTGACAAGCAGTGTCAATATTTAAAGAAGGGAACAAATGAATAAATTACTGTGACGGCAAGCGATGTCATTTTTTATATTCATATCCAATATTTTAATTTTATTTATTATTAATACATACAGATTACGATAAAAATTCGACAAAGCGGCATCATGTGACGCCACTTCAAGCCAGAGGCGTACCCAAGTTAAGGGATATGGGTTCACGTGAACTCATACTCCTCTCTCTAAAGCATGTATAATAATGTTATATTTCTTCAAAATTACTTAAATAGATGTGCGTGAACCCATGATCAAAGACTCTTATGGTACAACTATTATTGGGTGCACGCACCTCTAGAAATGAAATTGACGTTTAAATCTCACTCTGAACGGTCTTGTTTTCGGCACAGAGCATAGATATATATGTGAAAATTACTAAAATTTCAAAAAGAATATAATTTTGAACCTATAATTTCAAAAGTGTAGTAGGTTCATGGTAAGATTCTAAAGTTAAACCTGTCAAATATAAATTATAAATCCACCTCTTTACAATAATGCACCTATCCTCTTGAAATTCTAGATATACCTCTGCTTCAAGCAAGGTGCCTATGCCGCTGATAGCACAAGTTACTCCCTCTATCCAATAAACACCATCACTACTATTTGAAAATTCAAGTAGTTTTTTCTTTGTTATGATCTTCTCAAATAGGTTTTAGTTAATATATANACGAGGGTAAAAATACTTAATTTTAACCGTGAATTTGATCACATATTTTTTAAATTTTTAAAAATAAAATTTATATTTTTTTAATTACATAAAAAGTATTTAAATTATAATAATTTATAATTCAAAATATTTATAAAATATTTAAGAAAAAAATGATTATATAATTGTGCAACTGAATATATCTTCTTCTGTGGTCGGTGATTATGTGTTCTTCTTCTCTAGCTAACACGTGTCCATCAGTATACACTTCAATATATGAACAGTATACCTGTCTTTAGAGGATGAATCCATGTGCTGGCGTTTCAGTCTGGCTTCTGCAAATATACCACATCAATTTATGAACAAAATATCCAAATAAGAAAGTATGACATGGAGTTGGCTTGTCTTTTGACTCTCACAGCTCAAATTTGGTAATATTTCTTCTTTTCCAGACTAAAATTTGCATTTGGCCCTTTATCTTTTTTTATGGCCAAAAATAATATCACGTTGAACATCAGCAAATCCAAAATTTAAAGTTAGTGAATACAACTTATCTGTGGCAACAGTTGCAAACTTCGTATAAATATATAATTTTAATCAATAATACATATATAGTTTTAATCAGAGACGCTAAACCTAAACCTCAATCAGAGACAAAGCCAGGATTTAAAATTTATGAAAATTCTAGTCATTTTAAGATAATGGGTACTAAATTAATAATTTATATATATTCAATAAATTTCATAAGACAAATACAAGGTTCAGACAAAAATTATTGTGTTCAATCGAACCCGTAAGTTCTATCCAGCTCTGCCCCTGGTAAACCTGTTGTCGTCATGCTTCCATGTGACCATGTTGAACTAGTACTGTATTCTCGAGTGTAAAATATGAATAGATTTTGATCTTTTAAGCATATCAATATATAGTTTGAACTGAAAGCAACGGGTCAGTTTGAACCCACAAAAGCCGCTCTATACCCACCTCTAACCGAGACTAGTCATCAAATAGCTATGTTGTTCGGAGTCTCCGAAAATATCACTTGGGTGTTTGTCGGATCTTCCAAAAGTAGTACATTTCTGAAGGATCCGACACGATTGCAATAACTGTTTTGGAGAGTCCGCGCAACATAGTCAAACAGTACAATCATATAAATGCATAAGCAGTTCATCCTTAAACCCACAAGGTTTCCCACCAAATTGGAAAACCTCAGATTAAAAACTTTTTTCAAGGAAGAATACAGCTTCTAGCCATCTGAAAGCAATTTAATTACCACATCACATTTAATGAGGGCATTGCAATTTATTGACTTTGAATCATTGAAAGGCTACTAAATAATGTTAAAAAAAGGAAGTAAGAAGCAGATACATCTAATATGATACTGCACTTTGCCTTGGATCACTGAAAAAAATACTGCAGTCTGCAATTCCAGTGCTTTGTTTTTTCTCCACTTACCTTAGCTCCATTACAAAAGTTACCTCAAATGCTATATGCAATGTATTAAAATCTGGAATCTTTAATGTCAGAAGAAAGTTATGTGCCTACATAAAGATTACCTCTGTACGGGCAGTACGCACAAGCAGTACTCTCTGTTCAAGATGATAACTTGTTCTACCTTTTAAGTAAGCAAAGGAATCAAAGAAGCATTAAAGAAAAGTGCATGTGCATAAAACTTTGGTTCATTCTTATAACACCCAAATTGTGACCGTCAGCAAGTACTATGAACTAAATTAATGACTAATTTAGTACTAATTGAATGATAAAAACCACAAATAAAGTTCAAAAACTGTCATAGGCCTAAAGAAGGGGTGCCTTGGAGCAACGGTAAAATTGTCTCCGTGTGACTTATAGGTCACGGGTTCGAACCAGTGGAAGCAACCACTAATGCTTATATTAGGGTAGTGCGGCCCTTTCCCGGACCCTGCGGGATGCTTTGTGCACCAGGCTGCCCTTTAATTGTCATAGGCGATCATCCTCTTCCTATCCTCTTCCTCCCTGCTTTTCTTGATCTTTCAAAGTCTACAGAAACACGATTCGAAATTCTATATTTTCAAAGCCCCCACTTTCCTCTTCTTTCTTTCAATTCTCTCTTTAAACATCCATAACTTTAAATCTAATAACATGACAATAATTACAAGTGGGAAATGGGCATAGCACTGTGTCCAAGAAGCTTATCCCATTTCATCTTTCCTATCTTATCTACTCATTCACTATTGTGGGGTCTAAATAATGAAAACTTCAACAGATTATTTATCTGGAATCAAAAAAGGAAGAGAGAGCTAATGTAGATTTTTGTGGCACGATCTATAAATGTATATATATAACTCTTAAATCATGCAAATGCATGTTCATACATGATAGTATCGAGAGGCACACTAGCATTAAAGAAACAGCAATGCACATCAATCTAGTAAACTTTATAATATCAGTCACATTTAGTTTGCCTCTCAGCTACATACTGTGTCCTAGCATTTAATGATCACAAAATATTGGATCTTCCCAACTCTTATATATACCTGTCTCACTCTCACAGACAACACACTGTACTTTCTCCTCTCCCTCTAGTTTTATTGTAGTGGTCCATTTCCTGCACATTCCATGCAAACTGATGAAAATGACGGACAGTAAGTTTCTCAAGGCATGCCAAAACAAATGGCAAAAGAACGATGGCAAAGACATACCTTCAGCGGCTTGCGACAAATGCTGTAAATGGACTCTTTGGCCTTTCCTAAAGGAAGAGAAGGCTATCCCAAGGGATGTTCCAAAAGGTCATGCGGTAGTTTATGTAGGGAAGTACCAAAAGAGGTTTGTAATAAAAATCACCTTGCTGAAGCATCCGCTCTTCAAGGCATTGTTGGATCAAGCTCAAGATGTTTATGATTTCACTACTGATTCGAAATTATGGATCCCCTGTGACGAGAACATCTTCGTTAGTGTCATCAGATGTGCCACATCACCAGAAAGTCGGCGCATCTCAATCTGTTTTTGATGGTCCAATCACAAAGCTCGTGATAGTAATTCATCCATGATGTTTAACTTATTGTTTAGAATGTTGGCATCTGTAACCATAACCTGTTGTATACTATATCTATTATATGTAAATTCATTGCCTACGAAGTCGAAACGCATTAATTCTCTATTGAGTCAACCGAAAAGAATCTAGACGGGCCGTCACCTTAAGTGCTCATTCTTCTTTGCTACTGTACAACTGATCATTTCTTGAAATTTATGCAACTCCTATACAAGGCACAGTACTCAAGATAGTATATTGAGTGTAATGGAAGAATGTCAGTAGACTATTTCAGAAACATTCCACCCTTCTAAACTGCTCAACTGCTCCTAACAGACATCCACTTGATCATGTCAACGGGAATGCCAGTTCTAACAGCTTGACAATAAGCACTAATAGGCATAATTCCTCATGCCACAATAAGTTCAGGGACCAGGAAACAATATAAAATCTACAGTGTAGAAGAAGTGTTAATTTTATTTTATCACTTTTTTCAGCTATGAGACTAAAAAGGCAAGATTGCAACAATTACAAGCATTTTCTCACAATCTGCAGAACGACAAGCTAAATTGAGACGCAGAAGCCTTAATAAGCCACGGCCCAATTCGTACGAGCATTGAGAAACCAAAATTTTGACATCAGTATAAACTGCACTAAAGTTTGTATGAAATGTATGTTAAACTGTTGCACTCTCTGAGCACAGATCTGTAAAGCAGTGCAAGACGTATTACTTAATCGGTTTCAGGAAGAGCGAACAGGAATAAACATTAAGCACATCATGGTATTTTATGGCAAGAGAGAAAGTATCCATCCATTGAAAGAAGGGGAAAAGAAAAACCAGAAATGCAACCCAATGTTGTATAAAGCATATGACAAACAGCCCAACAACTTGACAAAGATTTTAATCACCAGGATAATAATGTAGCAAGGAGAAGTAAACCACTATAATAGAGGAGAATAAACAGTCTCATTCTGTGCCAGATCCAAGAATGTGACACTACCGCCATAAGACCCTTTCTTCTTCGTCCATTGTGTTGGTTAAATAACAAGAGTAGATGTTGAATCATGTAAACGTGCAAATCTAAAAGTTTAAATTGTTTGAAATTGGAACATTTATTTATTATAGTATGAAACACGGCACCCTACATGCGGACATAATTCTTTTTCTTTGGCCAAACATGTGAAAAACATTTTGGTTGTAGGTGATGAGATTCGAACCAAACCTATGCCTACACTGATACATATTGAAACATGTTGAGTTGTGTGAATTGTATCATCTTAAGCTTTTAAAGATGGAACGCTTTTATTTATTTTAGGTGCAAGAGTAGAGCACCCAAATCAATCCTTTAGAAAAAAAAAAAAAGGTTTTCAAAAAGACAACTAATCCTCTGTTCTCATAGTAAGCAGGTTCTCTTTTATAAGTTGCATTTAGCCGTGATTCCAATAAGATTGACGTGACCAAGAGAAGATTAGCAAAGAACTGGACTGGTTAATAAGCACCAGCACCAATGTACCAATCACAACAGTTGAAAGTTGGATGTTCCTTTTCTTATGCCAGACCTATATCTAACACAAGATTTTAGCTTTACTCCTATGATGCACTAAAGTATAGAAGGGAAAGTAATGTAAGAGATTATTTAATCTTATGACACACTAAAGTAAAGAGGGGAAAGTTATGCTAGTGTAGCCAAAAGATATAGAAAGAACATAATGGGATAAAAAGTTCTCCCAAATTCCTTTCGTAAAAAAAAAAAAAAAGTTCTCCCAAATTCCTAAGGTGAACTGGGAGAACTTTTCTTTTTTACAATAAGGTAAAGTAAATTTTACTAATAAAGTACCAAGGAGGTACTTCAAAAGTACAGGTGAACTGGCAGTACATTTTTTATCAAAAACAACATCAGCAGCAACAACGGCCCAGTGTATTCCCACAAGTGGGGGAGTACATTTTTTTTATCACTCATCCAATTTCCCTTTTCTTGCTTTTCCAGGAAAAATATTGACTAGAAGAGTTCTATAGGACCAAATCAAAAACTAATCGGAAAACTAAGAATGGTTTTATATTCATTATTTTCCACACCGTTTAGTTACACCTACTTCCCCCTTTAGGTCCTTCCCAAAGTTTGACATATTTCCTTAAATGGAAGTATATTTTCTCCCTCCAACAGTTCATTCTAATATAAACTATTATTACTTTATATTATTTCCAACTTGATGTGACATCTTTTCAAGAAATTCAATTATTTCATATTTCAAATCATTATTCAAACATTATACTACTCAACTCAATATAATAATCTATTTAAACATTTTCGTCTAAAGCTCTGCACAAGTCCAAACGACTCTAACTTATATAGGGAAGGAAGGAGTACTATATTTCTAAGTTAGGGTGTTACACAGCCTACATACAGTGAAGCTTCAAAGAATCAGACAACTTGTGTGATGCAACAGGAGATAGATGAGATTGACAAGAAAAAAAAAATTGCAAGATGACATTTTTTTTTTATCTAAAAGAGTTCTACAATCAACCAAGTCTAAATGTAACATGATGAGCTAAATTTGCTAATCAATACCGAACAAAGATTAAAGAATTGTTAAACATAATCATCCATATTTCCAATCCCTTTTCATGAATTAACAAATTCCAGAGAAAATATTTGAAAAAAGATACCAGCCTATGGTGAAAGCATGAAATACCAACACAAATTGCGGAAAACGCCAGTTTTTGCAGGACCTTTCCACATTTAGTATCTTCTGGAGAAGGAGCTTAAATGAACTGTGGTATTATCTACAGCCTGTGCATTTACGCAGATTCACAATTCTGAAGCAGGAAATATACAAGCAGATGATAACAAATGAAAGAGACATGCTCTAAGTTTTGTGCCTTTGACACTACAGTGAAAATTACTGATTAAATGGTGGATGCAAACTCATTTTGATATATATATATATATATATATGAATGGAAGATTACGGCCAAAACTATTCACAACTGTATGAAGGAAGGGGGGAAAAGCTCAGCTCAACAAATGGGACCAAGCCATCGGATAAAACAGGCAGTGTGACCAGCAAAAGGCAATCCACAAAATATCAATCATTCAGAACTGAAGGTGGAGGCACAAGTTGTCCAAATAGCAAAATCTGTAAATTCAAAAGTACATTACCTCCTTCTGAAGTGTTCAAACAAAGCTAAATACCAAGAACAAGGAACCTTTTGAAGTTGACAAATATGGTTGGATAATCCCTGAAATGTGAGTAAGAGGTTAACACTGGAGATACAGAACATGTTCGGGCAACCAATGAACCTTAAGCATGAAGATATTTTGAAGCAGTTGATCAGACTCAGAGAGATGAGCCATAAAAGATACAATCTAGTAAAGAATCCAAGCAGTATATCACAAACATAGAAGATAAAAACAATGTGGTGTGGTATCATAATAAATTAACAGCTGGTAGGAAAGTGATAATGGGAGTTCCGGGGGGGATGATCACCAAGATTTAGATGTGTATCATATAAACTGGTGTTGAATTTTAATCTAATGTACATACAGCAGATAGCAGAAGGGTGAGGCAATCTATGGTCGCAACTCGCAAGTAAACTCATATGAAGGTAACAACATAGCAAGAGGAAGCATAAAACACTTCTTGCAAAGGTGACAAGCAGAACACGAACAAGCTAAAGAGCAATGTTTTTTTTGACGAAATAATGGTCAAGTTGAAGAGCAATGTTTCTTGTGCTGTACAACAACGACATACCCAGTATTATCCCACACCATGGGGTCTGGGGAGGGTAGTGTGTACGCAACCCTTACCCCTACCTTGTGAGGATAGAGAGGTTGTTTCCAATAGACCTTCGGCTCAGAAAAGCATAAGCACCACATTAATGAAAATTTAGACAAGAAGGGACAGTACTAAAAAGCCTTATAAAAGCAGAATAAAAACAAGACAGTAAGGTGATAAACAATGAAAATTTAGACAGCAATGTTTCTTGTGCTGTATTGAACGCAATTAGTGAACCCACATTATCTTTTCTCATTGAACAATATGAAAAATTCTACAGTTATACTTCAGGAAGAAATCTCTCTTCAGGACTAGCTGAAGTTTGATTGTACCCTGCTTGACTTTCAGCAGTCAGTGCATTTCTACTTTATGTTAACCAAATTTGTTGCACACTTGAGTTGGGAGTAGTCTTCATTTAAGGATGAATTCTCAAAAAACAACTTAAGTTTTTGGTGTGTCACTGAGAAATTAGTGGAAAGTATCATATCCAAGGATTCAGCTGAGAGGATGGAATTCAAAAAAGAACCGTGGCCATATCGGTTAAGAGCCTACGTACAGTGACGAAAGAGATTGTGACAAGGAGAATAAACAGAAGGAAGAAAACTAATTGCAAGAATATGAGCTGAAGCATCTGCAATGAGTTGGGATTTACCAAACTAGAAATTTAAGAGAAATATGGGTGTCAAACTGTACTGAAGGAAAGATAAAAGGCTATATAAGGGCTGCTTTGGATTGTTGTTGTTCCGAGAACATATTTACTATATTTATGCACCTCCGCATACATCCGCGTGTTTGGGTGGTAAAGTACCCTTCAGAAATCTTTCCTAATAAACTCCATTCACCAATATCAACAAACAAAAGGTACCAAGATAAAAGAATATTCAACTCCATGCATCCAATGTGATCTCAAATGATAATAAGCTAATCGAACGTTTTGTCCCATCTAACTAGCTTGAGCCTATCTGTAAATCAAATATTCATTCTAGGTTTCAGAAGAAAAATGCACAATATGAAGCCCTTGCCCCCACCACCTTTTGTCTTACAAAGCAAACATACAACTGCTTAAAAGTTGTACAAAAAAGTACTCAGGCAAATCGACATTTCAGAAATTAGGCATTAGCCCAACTTTTGAAGCTGTTCATCAATAGTTTTCAAGACAAATTTGGACTACATTGACTGTTATCAACATTAAAGCTGAATTACTAAACAGTTGAACTAATGTTTAGCGATTCCTTACTGTCTGGAGATCCAGCTGCATAAAAGAATTTTGAGAAAGAAAACTGTTTATATTCTTTTATCCTTAGGACTTCATAGCCAAAGTACGGCCCCTGTAAAAGAGAAAACACGCGCAACACGGCTGATCAGAAAAAGGAAAAGAAAACATACTCAACATGGAAGCTCTAAAAGACTAAATCGGCTTAAAATGGTTGGAAGTTAACCAACTTCATCAAAGGGATCAGAAGTGGTTATCAATGGATAAGAAATTCAACATCTAGGTAACATCGGTTAGATCCCTATATTTACCTTTTTAAAATAGAATCAGTTGAGTGCTACAAAATCAAATCTCAAAAAAAAAAACATTTGAAGCAAGAGCATTCTGTGTCTAGTCTTTGCGAATTAAACCTAATAGGAACTTGGTGTTATTGAAATGCTTATTAATAAAGGCATAGCACTCAAAAGTTAACAAATATCATTTTGGGTAAGGAAAACTTAACAAATATCATATATTCATAAATATAACTTATTCAGTAGTCTGATGATCTCATAGAGCAGAAGTCCAACATTAATTTTTGCATGTGCCCACTTATCTTATATTCATATATACAAGGTACTACAGTCTAAACAATGTTATTTGTACACTTATTAGAATGCTTATCAGCTAGGCTGACTGAGTTTAATGGTTAAGCACTTGCATATAGGGCTTGAAGAGCATCAACCAAACATTTAACCAGATGAAAGCTGTGCGCAAAAATACTGATCAAAGAAAAAAAAACTGTGCGCAAAATTAAATAGCACAGGTTATCCAGAAGAAAAAACCACTTTTTATCCAAATGTATAGGATACTTCAAACAAATAGATGATCACTCCGAAATTTGTTTAGGCATTAATCAATCCTCTATATCTTAGAGGTACTTTGTCTTATATGTCCATTTGATATAATGCAAAATGTTTTCCAGTAAAATACAAGTAGTTATATTAAACTGTTCAAATGTTTTGCTCTACAAAGCAGAGCATACTTATTTCCTTGTATAAGTCATTTACAGTACAAATCTGGCATTTGCTCCTAACCATATGTAAGTATCTTTTTTCAATCTTTGTTACATAAGTTGTGATAATCACTGAGGACCAGTCCTTACATCCCCATCCCTTTGTTTGACTACTAGCACCTGCGACTGACATTATGATCCAAAAGTACCAGAAATATTATTCAACCAACGATTTTCCGTCACAAAAGTTTTCTACAGAAAATGTTCTGTACGACTATAATTAACCAGACAAAGCCACAATTATGGCAAGGATTTGAAAACCTCAACATTTCTGATGCCAAAAGTCATAGAGTATGACGTATCACGACATTGAATGACGTCATGAACAAAATCAATAATATTAGAAGCAGAATAATAACCACAACAGGAGTGACTCCATCAGTAGTACTGAAATCACTGATCAAATACTTCAGAAACTAGATATCTCAAATAAGTAAAAACTTTCCCAAGCCTCAAATTCTTTATCTCTCTTAAAAACTATTCTACTCCTCGGTTTTATTTCAAATAATCACATGAAAATGATAATGGAACAATAGGAAAAGTAAGCATGGAATACCTGACTTGATTCCAAAAACATTTGATAGTATGTTCATTTCAAGGTAGTTGTGTATAATAAGGGAAATCTTTGACCAACTTACATTCAACTAAATTTTAAGGGAATTTTAATAAGTTAAAATAACTTCATTGATGATACACCAAGTGAATGTTTCTATACATGGTGGGTCTACATTAAAGCTCCAAAAAGAATCATCCATCTGTCTATACAATATGGGGAAATCCTTTCTACAACAAATGAGCTTTTTGTTTTTTTTGAATAACCGAGAAATCGCCGAGAATCAGTGGCGCACGGTTCGAAAGCTGGTGGATAATTGGCATGACCTTCTACCCTTCTCCATAACTCCATTTCCCTAGGTAACACCTAGGCCATATTGAACTTAGAGTGCCTCCATTGCTCATGGAGAAACTGCAATGACCAGTATATGGTCCATATCCTGATCATTGGCCTTGGATAATAACTCCAGCTGACAACTATATGCTCTCCAGTTGTCTGTCATTAGAATAACACTCCAAGCTGTATACCGTGTAAAAAAAACAACTTTATTAGGTGCCTCCGTCTTCCATATGGACCTCCGTATGGCCTAGAGTCACTGTCCATGATCAAGTATCAATTACTCATAATATGACTTCATTGAGAATATCTTCATAGGCGATCCTCCCTATAACACTTTTCTTTTTTGTGTCAAAGACATAATCCAGTAAATAAAAAGTTTGTAATCTATAACAGCTTTTTTTTGTATAAGGTAAATTGTATTAATCAAAAGGGAGAGAACTCCCGTATACACGAAGTATACCAAAACGTAGAGAATTTACATCAGAACATGATTCTCTACAAAAGACGCCCAATCTTCTATACAAGTAGGGGCTAAATGAGTGCACCAAAAAGCGATCAAAGATAAAAGACTATTCTTAAGATGTGAAAAAGGAGAATCAATCTCCTCAAAAGCTCTCCTATTTCTCTCCCCCCATACTATCCACATGAGAGCTAACGGGGCGAACTTCCACGCCTTTTGCTTTCTTCTTCTACGGAAACCGGCCCAGCTATATAACATTTCCTTTACCGTGCTTGGCATCACCCATTGAATACCAAAAAGATNGGGAGGATCAATCTCCTCAAAAGCTCTCCTATTTCTCTCCCCCCATACTATCCACATGAGAGCTAACGGGGCGAACTTCCACGCCTTTTGCTTTCTTCTTCTACGGAAACCGGCCCAGCTATATAACATTTCCTTTACCGTGCTTGGCATCACCCATTGAACACCAAAAAGATTCAGGATTGCCCTCCACAAAGCAGAGGACACAGGGCAATGCAACAAAAGGTGATCAACTTCTTCCCCTGAGCTTTTACACATGTAGCACCAACTAACAAGTGTAATTCCTCTCTTTCGGAGATTTTCAGCAGTCAAGATCACTCCCCTCGACGCTAGCCATGCAAAAAGCACACCTTCGTGGGAGCCCTAGGAATCCAGATCGAGGAGTATGGAAAAGTGGTCTCCTCTCTCACCAACATACCCTGGTAAAACAACTTTACGGTGAACAAACCATCGCCACGCAAGCCCCATCTCCAAGAGTCGCAAGAGCCATGCTTGCCAAAAAAGCTATAGGATATTTGGGAAGTCATGATGACTGCCAGAACAATTTTCGGCAAGCTTCTAGAGCTCCTGTGCAGCTAGGAAGATTTGAAAAAGCTTCGAGAGCAACGACGAATCCTTTCCGAGAATCCCACCCTGCCATGTGTTGATCAAGCTTGTCGGAGTACAATGTCATCAAAAGCAAAATTCAAGAAAGAAAACTAGAAACTGTTGGGAAAACATGCTAAGATCTACTAGGGCTTTAACTTCAAATCCTAATAATGTGCGGGCTTTAATGAAAAAGGAAAAGTTCAAATGAAAAAAATAAAAAAGTGTACATGTAACACAAAGATAATAAATATAAACACGAACAACAATTATGAATAGAGGGAATAGAAAAAAGTTATAATCAAGCGAAATAGTTATTGCTTACTTATTGTGCTCTTCAATATAGAACTCATCGGTGAGGAGATGCACACCTTAGCGTTATTGATGCCTAGACTGATGTACTGCTTAACCGAAGCTTGTTTTGCACCTTGCTTCGAGGTTTAAGTGTTTCAAGCGACACAGAGCCAGAGCTGTACTCATGCTGGCACATGACACAATTTCTGACATCCTCTCTTGCTGCACTTCACATGAACGGCTCGCCTGAATACAATGATCCATCCTAACTATAATCCACCCTCTAGCTCCATTCTAGAACATTGAGATTATACCAGTCAACTCCTTTGACGATGTCAATCCTTCCATGTTATATATCACCTTTCAATTTAGTTTGTTTCAAGCTTCTTCTCTTCAATTTTGATTTGATCTACTTCTCTCCGAGTTCTTTGAAGCAATTCTCTCCAACTTGGTTAAACCTGTTTCTGTGCAGTACTATCTGCCTTGCATGAAGCTATTCCCTTCAATGCAACACGTCAATGAGGAATGCCCTTCTTCCAAAAAAAATCTTCAATGCAACATCCAATTCAACATTGGTGCTCCATTAGTTGGTTCTAATACATTTTCAGAAGTTGAGACTAACGAAGTCTGTAAACAAGTCTGAATATGGTATGAGACCAGGCATGGTTTCTGAGTTCAAGTTTCAGACCACCTTGAAGAAGTTACCACGTGCTTGGCCCATGAAATACATCAGGATTCAGGCCCACACATGCAGGAGTGTATTAAAGACATAATTGAGTAAATAAAAAGTCTCATCTCTAAAAGCTTAAACTTTTAGATAAAGTGGTTAGAAAATCCAATGTTCTGTATCAACATATACGGCTTTACAAATTTCATTCACATCATCAAACCTCACAAGCTTCCTATATATATATATATGTGTGTGTGTGTGTGTGTGTGAAAACAATTAGCATCGATCTCTTCTAAGAAGCTCAGCTGCTATGGCCTCCTTATTCATCATAATATGGAATAAGCGAGGAAACTTGTTTTTCAGAGTTGAGTTTCCACACCATACATCCTACCAGAATCAGATTCCTTACCTGACCCTAAAGCCTATATGTACTAGGGATTACAATTAGGCCTACTTAAACAAAAGACGGAAACTTTGATTGGTGAACTAACGGAGTGTTTTAGGGGATAAAAATGTTAAAACTTGATAATCTGTTCACCTTGTGGACACTTCATTGGTTCTTTAAGAGGCCAAGTTTTGTTCTTTCTGAAACTAAACAAGCAAGGGGCAGAAAAAGAAAAAAAATGTGGAACCATCTAGCCAGAAAAATGAGAAAGGAACAGTATCAGATTCTTTTCAAGCAAACACGAGATTTTTTTAAATCATTTGTTCAATCATCTAAGCATTCATTCTTCCAAAATTACAAGGTAAATAATCACTTGAATCCTTAAATACTTTAAGCAACAAATGGTCAATGTTCAAACATTTATCAAGAGGAAGTTCAAACCGACCAATTGGAAGTTTTTCTTTAATCTTTTCCAGTTAGGAGACTGGAAAGGTTTAGTTCAACGATTACCATGTATCATTATACAAATCAACTTACTTTAAAACATTGGAATCTACAACATGAACGTGACTCTAAGAAAAAGGAGAAGGCTCCCTTAAATCTCTTACCCTTTATGGTAAAAGGAGAAATACAACAATTACAACTAGTTTTCAGGTTGCATCACCATGAAAGATTTGTATGGTAAAGCATATACTCGAAATGGACGTGAAATAGCCAACAAGAATTCCCATGAAATATACAAGTCATATATTGCCTCAGAACAGAGTACATACAAAGCGCAGCTGGTGACTTCTTAAGCAATGCTGTGCTGACTCACAATTTTGAAGCACTGAAAGTCAAACCACTAAAAGATTACCCCATCAGTGGCGACAATCCATCCAGTTAAAGCTTCTTTTGCCATAACACCAAGGCAAGGGAATGAATCTTTAGCAAATTCCCACCTAGTATCATCTCACTCCCTCGAGGAAGCCTTCCAATTCTCTTCATCCAAATGTCCTCCCAACTGCAGAGGCATCATTGCACCTTGCAGCCAAGTAAAATGTTAACCAAGCTACCATGAAATAAACTTCCATAACAGACTGAAATGCCAGTGCAAACACTTCTCCAAATATTCGACCCAATATCCATCTCGTTAACGACCCACAAACCAAAACTTCCCAGCACTTGATCCCCATAGCAGGATACACCATAATATTCAACAAACGACACCCTTCTTTGACAACTTCTCTACCACTTTTCGTCGAATCCACAATCGAAACCCAAGAATCGACAGCAAAAATAAACCCCACTACCAACTCCACCAAGAACCAAGAGACAACAAAACACAAGCTTTCCTTCTCATGCCCTGTAACCCACGGTGCCACATCCGAAAAGGGCATCAATTTCATCCTCACAAAAACCTTAAAAAATGCATATTGATCCTCAATTTCTCCAAAAACGCAAATACCCAACAACTGAGCTAAAGCATCCCTAACTGCCCACCTCATCAAAACAAATCCAGAAAGCCTTCTTAACCCCAAATTAGAACCTTCCCATGCAGTCCTAAAAATTGACCTGTAATTCCCTAACACATTATCCAACACTTGCAAGAAAATAATCCCATGAACCCAAGTGTAAGTAACCAAAAAAGCCAACACTACATAAGCATAAGCTGCTGATAACAAACTAACAAGAAACAACAATGCCGTGGCGTCACGACGACCCAATTCAAGACCCTTTATTAAGAACTGCAAATCAACAACCCCATTTTCATTCTCATTCTCATTTACAATTTCATTTTCAGTATTATTATCAAGATGGGTCAAATTCTGGGTTTTTTCTAAAAGGGGCTTGAAAGAGACAAGCCCATTACGAATTGCTTGAGGAAATAAAATCCCATTATCAATGATATGATTTGAAAACCCTAAGTTAGGGTCAAAATCGGAAAGAATTAGGAAAGTGGAATTGGGCTGAGGTTTAGGGTTAGGGTGAAATAGGGATTTGTCAAGGTCCGAATCACCGGAGAAGAAATCATCATCAAGGGTACCAACACGGGATAAGTGAAGAAAAGGGCGGCGGCGATGACGGCGGAGGTGGTGGTGGTGTTGAGTTTGAGTAGCAGCGGAGAGGAGGTCAATACGAGATACTAGGGATTTGAGAGAAGGGTCACGATCGATGAATGAAGTGAGATAATGGGTCCCATTTTCGACATTGGAACGGAAAGTGAGGATTAGGGATGAAAGGAGAAGGAAAAGGAGGAGGTTGGAGGTGAAGGTAGTGGTGGTTTGTTTGAGGATTTGGGTTGTTGTTTGGTGGTTTATTGGTGGTCGTTGTGGTGGTTGACGGTGGTGATTGTGGTGGTTCATGGTGGTTGATTGGTTGATGATAAAAGTTTGATGATTTGATTCCGGTCGGAATTGGTTTAATTGGAGAAATGATACGGGGTGGTAATGATCAATTTGAGAACATTTGGGGTGTAGAAATGAAAACTTTTGGATCGAGTTTTAATATAGCTTGGGAAGAAAAAATTAAATATTTGAAAGTGTTATAAAACAAAAGCAATTTAGTAAAACATGAACAAGACATGTTGTTATGAAATAAAAGCAATTTAGTAAAACATGAACAAGAAATAGAGATAGAGAGAAGGAAGAGATTTTCTTCTTCAATTGTGTGTATTTTCTTATCTATTACAAGGCCTTTATATAGGCATGAAAAGTGAAGAAAAATATGTCATTAAATATGTCATTAAGCATAGAAATATGTCATTCAATATGTCATTAAGCATTTGAGAAATCATGGAGGAAGAGTAGACATCCACCATAATTTAATTTTTCTTATAACACTCCCCCTTGGATGTCCATAGATAATGTGCCTCGTTAAAACTTTATTAGGAAAAAATCCTATGGGAAAAAAATCCTAGTGAAGGAAAAAGAGTACACATGTTTAGAAATACGCCTTTTGATTGTCTCGTTAAAAACCTTGCAAGGAAAACCCAGTGGGACAAAACCTTGTAAGGGAAAAAGAGCACAACGCGTATTAACTCCCCTTGATGAGAGCATCAATTCACATCCTTGAGCCTTCGCATCCCAATCTTGTACACTAGTTTCTTGAAGGTTGACGTCGGTAGAGATTTGGTGAACAGATCAGCCATATTATCACTTGAACGGATCTGTTGCACATCGATATCACCATTCTTTTGAAGATGTGTGAAAAATAACTTTGGTAAAATTTGCTTTGTCCTATCCCCCTTATGAATCCTCCCTTCAATTGGGCTATGCATGCTGCATTGTCTTCATACAAAATTATGGGTAATTTGTCACACTTCAAACCACATTTGTCACGAATAAGATGTATTATAGACCTCAACCATACACATTCTCGACTTGCTTCATGAATAGCAATTATCTCA